ACTTATTCTACTGAGCCATCTCTCCGGTTCCGTGTCCAGCTTGTTTTTATTGTTTCCTTCAACATTCAAACATATTCTTTTTTATCTTCATAATGTCACATAATATACAAGAGTTAAGAAAAGAGAAACAGTGTAAACAGAGTGACTCTAATTTAAAATTTTCAAGAACATTAAACCCTTTGATCATATTTCTGTGAGAAATTTAGCCTTTAATATATATGTCTAAAGACACTGAAGCACAGAAAGATAAAAATCATAAAGTAGGAAAAAAGTAGACACAGCTTTCAATTTAAGACTGTAAATTTTGAGTATTATATCTTACAAAAGATTTCCTTTGTTGAAGAAAAAGTAAAGGACACACGTCTTCATCAAATGACTCGTGTGCGTGCCCGCCAACATACCTGTTGTTGTTCCGACAGTTCCGACAGCTCACGCATTCCAGAGGGTCCACCTGCGGGACTGCTGCGCACATGCCGCTGCCCTGGGCAAGAAGGAAGTTCGGGAGAAGAGGAAAGAAAAAAGCGCTGAGGGCGCTGCAGTTCGCCAGGCACACAGTCACAAGTACGTATGTCCTGCGGCTAACGAATGGCGCCAGGCACGCCTGAACCTACTCCCTGCGCAACGCCGGGGTTGTTATGTACTCAGAAATGGGTTCAATGCAATATGAAACTGTACTCCAAAAACTGAACTCTCATATTTGCCATATATTTCTGTACTGCGAAAAAGGCAAATGGAGAGAGAAGGCTACTCACTTCCCCCTAACGTTTCAAATCTACTGGGCCCACAACATGCCGTACATCAGAACCTCCCATTCATTTTTCTTTTTCTAGCAGTCACAGCCAAACTCGAGGTGGTGCCAGCGGGAGAAACAGGGAGTACAGTCTGCCTGAGCGGCGTCACTACAGCGACCCATCTTCACTTGCCTGTCATTGCTCTGCTTAGCTCTGTTCACTTGACTACATTAAGCTTTCAAACATGTCGTGTTTTTCCAGATGGAGCGGATTCTCAGCCAGCAATGACTTGGAGGGCAGCATGAATGTTCTGATGTTGCTTCTGGCGGAAACTGCCCAGCAATTAGGAAAATGCCCAGATTAACACATCCCTCATTGTACACTCACTGGACAAGTACAGTGGCATACTCGAAGTTAAAAACTGAACTGGCCCTACAGTTGCAGTCAGAATTCTGCCTCTTGATAAAGAACAGCAGAACTGAACTCGGTAAGGGTGCCTGCCAGAGGCGGCCACACTGCACCTGAGCCGGAAGCAGGCCTTTAAGGCGGCGAAGCCCAGACAGCTGTTTCCCCAGGACGCTCTCCATTTGCACTCATCTCACCACAGCCAGAATGTAAACAAACCAAAACACCGAGAATTTTCAGCATTTCCGATCCAAACAGCAACAAGAATTATTACAAAAATACTGAGAGAGACTACTCCTAACACTATGTTCATGAGAGTGAACTCCAAAGATTCAGAAAACGAAGCTTACAGCCTACAGAATAACCTATTTATCTGAACCACTGAACAGGTCAAAGTTAATGATGTTTATGATCGCTAACATTTTAAAATTCCTTATTTCCTCCCACTTAATGATAAGAGTAAGAAAACAGGTTCTTACTATTTTCAGAGACCCTTACTTCTAAGTGGTGCCCTTCATGGGCAATTATTATTTAAATAGCAAATCCCTGTTCAAAAAAACCCCGGTTCAATGTTCAAGCACTAACGCAAGCACTAGCCTTGTTTCTTATGGAAACAGCACGCGCCATCCAGACGGAGCGTGCTCTCCTTCAGCTTCCTCTGCAGTGGTAGGAGCTGGACTGGAAATGGTGACCGAGAAGCTGGACCACAAGCCCTGACTGTCCCCAGAAATAATAAAACCATTATCATCTTTTGATAAACAAGAGGCACTAAAGTAAATTAAATACTTTTTTGAGTAACACACAAAAGGTGGGTCATGTAAAAGCCATAGGTTTCCAGTTTTAAGGTACAAAAACATACTTTAATCCTGTTCTGCAAATGTAGTATTTGGAAATGAAAAAACCTAAATTTACTTCTAATTATTGCACTTCACAGATGATGACAAATTCATCCATAATCAGAACAATGACAAAAATCTAAATGAATGCTTAATTTGGTCAACTAAACAAGCTACCTGTTTAGTTAAGAATATGTTAGAACTTCCAAGCAATAGTTTTTAATTTTTAAAAAATCATTTTTTAACTTATTTACTTGGTACAGGGCCTTGCTCTGCAGCTCACACTCGCAGTGATTGTACGGGCTCAGCCTCCAAGCACTGGGGTTACAGGCAGGCACTACCATGTCCAGTTTCAGTGGCTGGCACAGCACACCCCCAGCATGGCATGTGGTACTGAGGAGTGAACCCAGGTCCTGCTGCTTGCTAGGCAGGTGCTTAGAGCTATCGCTCCAGCCCCCAAGCAATATTAATATGCCAAATTTCCTAGTGCTAGAGAACACCTTTAACCAGCATAAATATAAAATATGCTAGTAATTCTATGCCCATTTAAAAAATTAAACTATACTAGCTACTTATCTCCAAAATAAAGGAATTTAATGGCTTGTCACTCCTTAGGGCTAAATATTGAGACTGTAAGACGCAAAAAGCTTACAAGCCACAGTGACAAAACATACTGGAAAAAACAAGCAGTAACTCATAATAGGTCAGAAGCCAAACCCAGCTGCTTATAGACATGCTCTGCGTGGTCTTCACAGTGCTTTGAAAAGTCTGGGGCCAGAGATTTAGCTCAGTGGCAGAGTCCTCGACTAGCATACCCAAAGCCCTAGGTTCCATCCCCAGAACCATGAAAAGGTGAATGCACTCTGATCATGACTATAACCAGTGATTTCAGACTTACAGCTGTTTTACAGCACCCCTAGGGTTTTGGCGTGCCCCACATGCGAATGGTAGGTACTACACTGCAGCTGCCTAATTCATAACATGACTACCCTAGATGGCTACCTCCTGTTCCCAACTGGCTAGTTTCCCTACCTGGCGGACTCCTCAGCATGTGTGTTTTCAGACTCTCTCCAAAGAAGCTGACTGTAAAGTATCTACTCTGCTCTGTGCCCAGAGGTTTTCCATTTCATCTCAAGAACAACTTCTACTATGTTCTTTACTGATATACTACACTGTGTGCTAAATAATTGTAAAAAAGAAATCAAAGATCAAGGGGCTACTGGTGATACAATTTCCTTCCATGGAACCTGTAAGGCCTCTCTAACAAGAAAGCCAAGTGGTGACCCTGCTCTGGCATTGGGCACCCTGACGCCCAGCGGCTGCCATTTAGAATTCGGTCTCTTACATTTACCAGATGATGAGGATGTTCAAACTCCACATGCGTCCTAGTTAGTGAGTTGCTGTGTGCAGGGTAGAGTCCTCCCTTTAAGCTCCCATTGACCATGCCATTGACTCCATTGGGCATCTTGTGATGGTGATGGGCGCAGCCATTGCTGAGGCTGCCACCACCTAGAAAGCCTGCGTGAACACTTCCGTTGATCCGGGTGGTTCCTGGGAGAGCAGCACACTCCAGCATCTGCCCACTGATATCTGACCCTTGGTAGAGATATCTCGGTGGGTCATATTCTGTTAAAAGAAAACAAAAATTAAAAAGTCAGATATTGAAAAGAATAATCTTCTTGCTTACTTAGGAAGTTTCAATAGCGATACCCCTGAGATGCTACTCATAAATTAAAACATTCTAAAATATTGTCATAGGCTGAGGAGATGGCTCAGTGGGCTGGGGAGATGGCTCAGTGGGCTGGGGAGATGGCTCAGTAGAATAAGCACTTCCCTGGCGAGTGCAAGGGCCTGAGTTCAATCCCCAGTTCTGCCAAAAATAAATAAATAAATAAATAAAATATTGTCATAGAGCTTACTTATGAGATATAATTTAATAAAGTCACTACTGTTTTCTCTACAGAGTGGAGTTATGTAGAAACTTTGAATTAACTATGATTCTGTTAACAGGAAGAAAAATTAACCAGAGAGAAATCACCCAAAGGGGAAAGAATAAATTTGTATGATCTAAAACTACGAAAGTATTGGCAACACTAACAAATAATGCTTAAATGCCTACATGTTTCAAAGGGCTGAAAAAGCATGGTATAAGCAGTAACAAAAGCCTAACTTCAAGTAGGATGTTTCAAATAACAATAAACACCATTTCAAAGAAGAAGGCAGTGCTTTATGTATATTCACTGTCTATTCACATAGCCTATTTGCCCTGACAGCGCAATATGGAGGGGATGGGGATTTGAAGGGTGTGGGGATCTGGAGGGTGTGGGGTACCAAAAGCAAAAGGCTACTCTATTTCCTTATACTAAAAGCACTACAGCAATTCTGATTTCCATGGACACATTAGATGTATTTAGAAAAATGTAAAATATCCTTTAAATCCATGGGATCTAAATGACAGAATCTGTTGTCGAGGTTTTTGTAATTTTTCAAAGGCATCAGAGATGGCACTCCTGTACTTTCTCAAGCAAGTGTGTACTGAGTATATGTGTTTAAAACAGGGACCATGTTTATTTTAATTTGTCATTTGTCCAGCATAATATCTGGCACCTAGAAGATAAGTCAAGGAGTTATTACCTGATGAAACGAAGTAATGTCAATGGCTTATTCAACACACATTTTAATGATTTCATACACACATAATCAAAGGTAAGAGCATTAAAACCACTTAGAAAAAGGGTCAGCCAAATTATCACACCCTTTCAGCTTCACTTCATCATCTCTTTCTCCGTCTGCTCAAAGGCATTACTTCTTTCTTGAGCTAGTAACTAAAGGGCAGCCATGTGATGAACTGCCTGTCACTACTGGTACCTTCTTGTCTTTATCACCCTTATTCGGGGGCTGAAGAAGAAATTGAAAATATCCTTTCTCCCACCAGAATCTAAAATTCCTGTTTCATTTGAGTAACATATTTTATAATATCTGGGGAGCAGGAGAGATGAGTTATTAATTTCATAATAGTACCATCACCAACAGTGCAAGCACACTTCTGACCAGACGTTTACTGGGGAGAGGATGCCACTCCAGAGCAATCTGGGAACAGTAAGTGCAGAGACAGGACCTCATACTCTCCCCTTGTGTGAGTCAATGGCGGCACTTCAGAAGGCCTCGCTGCATTCCTTGGAATCCACCCATTTCTGCGCACCGCTGGCCAGGTCTGCACCAGCTACAAAGTGCTCCCGAGCAGCTCCCGAGCACACGTTCCCAAGGCTCTTCCTCTTTGGTGGTCCCACCAAGCCAAGGTTTCCTAGCACCAAGTCAGCTATTTACTTGGAGACATGCTTAGTGTTGGCTTTGGTGGTTATTACTCGGCAATTTAGTTTGACGCTCCACTTGCTTTGGCTGACAGTAAGCATAATTTTAAAGTCATCTCCTCTGAAGGGAGAGTATCTAAAGGGCTTCATACCATGACACTAATACATGGAAGCATTACGAATCCATATTTATTCTCACAATATTTTTATACCATCTTTAGAAAAAATAGACATACTTATAAATGACTTACTCTGGATGGCATTCTGTTGGCGACTCTTCCACAGGCACATTGCAATGAAAACCATAAGAATGAGGACCATGACACCAAGCACACAGCCAACGATGAGATACAACATGTCACTGCTTCTTGCCGGGCTAGTTGCAGACCCAACACTTCCTCCATTTCCGGAAGAACTTGGAGGCGTGCTCAAGGCTTTGATGGGATACTCAGAGACTCCAGGGACACGTTTCACTAGTTGAAATATAAAAGAAAACATGATGTCAGAGTGAACACAGAGTCTATGAAATGGTTTACTCTCTGAAGGAGGTCTGGTGAGGAATTGAAGCCAGTCTGTTTACACTCCCTGCTGAGAGATCTGACCACCAGGGAGTCACCAAGAAGGCTCCAGCTTAAAACTCTAATGTGCCAAAGTTTTAGTCCACAAATTTTAGAGAGATCATAAGGACTGAAATGTGTACACTTTGTCTGAATTGCACTGCTACACGGTTACCTACTGAACTGTACATGTAGAAGACTCCCAGAGCCTTGAAATAGTAGTACTTCACCTTATGCCTGGAAGGAAAGCTTTCCTATCTGATGTACTTTGCACCAAGACTCGGTATTACATATTTCATACTTTTCCCATGTCTTAAAAATAACCACGTAAGAAAATACAGCTTTTACTGTTAGAATGACTACATATAATGTGCAAACTCCATGCTTAATATAAGAATTCCCCAAACAAAGGCTTTTGGAGCCCATGTAAATGTGACACTTTTATCTGATTTACTGGTGTTCTGGGCAGTGGTGATACTAAAAACAGGTGGCACGTGAATAGCATTCTCTCCATTCCCAAATCCTATGTTCTCGATGTGCTAAATGTCACAGAAAAGTAGTGGAGCACAGCAACCTTTGAAACCAGACCACCCCTCTTATATTTTATTTCTACCATTTGTCACTAGCTATATAACTTTTGCCATCAGGAACCCCAATTTCTGTATTTGGAAAATGTGGATAATAAGAGTTCTATCAAAAGGTGTAAAGAACTGTGGCTTCATAGCACCTCCAAAAATCATGTTGAAATTTGGCTGCCACTGTAACAGTGTTAAGTAGGACACGAGTATAATCTGGGAGGCTGAGGCAGGAGGACAGCAAGTTCCACCCTAGCCTAGGCAACTCAGAAGACCCTGTCGATGATTTTTTAAACCAGTGCTCTAGCCAGCAGATACACTTCTACTGAGATAGTCTACATATGTGTACCTAGAAAATGGTCCAAAGTGGAAATTTCCTTAAGAAAAGATGCCAATATTGATATATTTTGCAGGTGAGATCAGAAGTCTGGAACGGTGGCGCTGCCCAGGGAGAGCGCCCCAACCCCCCTCCTACCTTTAGTCTCACAGATCATCACGTTGCTGAACTCGCTCTCCCCTCCCTCATTGAAGCACTGCATTTTAATGTCATACGAGGTTTCTGGCTGCAAGTGGCCAATCATGTGCCACTGCTTTGACCCTAGAGGGAAAAATACAAAGATAAGCTCTGCCCATCATACACTCCAAACGATAACGCAATTCAATATTTTCAGAATAGGTTGGAATAGCATCTATTTCCACCTAGTACAGCTTTTAAGACAAAAAACATACTTCATGTAAGTGTTTTAACAGTATACCACCAATAAACAGCACTTCTACTAGGTGACATGAAAAAAGTAGAGCTGAATTAAAGCTGTATCTGTCATCAGTAATCCCTATTTTTAAAAATTAGTGGTCTTTCATAAAATAATGTTAATTGTATGTATAAGTAAAAAGATACCTCACTATTTTAGGCCCTTTTTTCAGCCCAGCAAGCAAACCCACTATGTATGCCTTCAAGAAAGCAGTGCCATAAATGGGTCAGCAAAGAGCGCACGACCCATAGCAAGGAGGTGCCGACAAGCCATCCCTTCGCAAAGCTTTCAGTTTCATTACCACAGACACAACACGGATGGACAGACAGACAAAGGCCTTGGGAATCAGCTGGGAACCAAGCAAAAGCGAGCTCCCCTACAGGACACCCTCAGCCATTGCTTCCAAAACTGTCTTGCTTCTGAGTCAGGGTCTCCAAACTGCATTCGGATCTCTAATGGAACGATTCGCTTACTCGTGGCACGGAGCCAACATTTCATTTAGAAACACTCCTAAACTGAACACTTGGGAATAAATCACTCTCTATTTTTACTTGCATGGACCTGTGACAAACTTTCATAAATAGGGACACTTTTACCAGATTTAATGAACTCTTCCAGCACTCTTAATCCCTCCTAGAAAACAGCTCTTCAAACTGTTTCCACTGTTACATAGAAATTCAAGTACACCACCAACTGATTTAAGAATTAATTAAAGAGAGGGGGAAAACCAAACCAAAACAAAGCCACACGTGCAAGTCCAACCTACTTGGCTGACACACAGTACAGTATCAGAGGCTCCTTTCTAATTCAACACAGACAAAAACATTTCAGTCTGAAAGCTCGACCTTCTTTCTGTGTCGCCTACACAAAACCCCTCTCACAAACTCTCTCACATTTTTTAAGGGAGAAAAAAACTCTTGCTTGCTTTAGGATCAAGGATCTCTGAAAGTTTCAAGAAGTAAGGAATTCTGTGCCTCATTTATAAGTGTAAAGAGAACCCCCAAGTTATTTTTACTCAAATACCAGTTGAAGCTGGAAAACACCTATTTCTAAAACCCAAAAGCTTCCCCTGAAGTCCTCTATTTTTACTTCTCGAGGTCTTTCCTGACCGGGTTTCACCCTCACCTACTGTGACCGCTTTCCTGAGTAAGCGCTACCCTAGGCCTGGAGTCTTCCTCTCACAGCACTAGTGAGAGTGCAACTGAGCCAGGCTTCTGATATGCTACGAAGAAAGTAGTTTTTATATATAGTTAGATTCATATGCCATTGTTATGGTAATACCTCCAATAGCTAAAATTATAAGAACTATCAGTAAAGAGAAAGAATTTTTCTTGATCAAGTGTATTATTAGGTTTAAGACCAATCAGCGTACACTGATTGATAAACAGTTATTTTCAAAAAAGATGTTTTAGAAAAGGGAAAAATTTACCAGAGAGAAACAAAAACAGGGACTTAAGTAAAAGAGTAATTTCTGGTACTCCAGAACCTGACTTAACTTGACAAGCTAAAAATACTCACCATGAAAGCACTGGTACATTGCACACAGCATTTAAATGTGGAACTTATAATTCAGAAGATGGAATATTTAAATAATATATTTATTCTTTTACTGTATTCTAAGTTGTTTCAACGTTAAAGCTTAAATATAGGTCCATTATATATAAATAATCAGAAGCTCTTAAAGTAAGTGCTACGTGCAAAAGAGGAACATTTCTCTTCCTGCGTTTGGGAGAGCACACCAAGAGTTACACCTACCACAAGAAGAACTTCAGATGCGTAAGCCTGAAGGTAAGGAATGAGCAAGCTGCACAGCACAGCGAAACCTGCCCACACATCTAACATCTCAGAATATTAGGGTTATAAACAAATTCTGTGGGCCGTAAGAGAGAACTCCCGTTTGCAGACACTATTACTAGACGCAAAGGCTTTGTCTAGCTGATTTCCAGTCCCACATCAGTACTCAGGTCACAAAAGTCTAAACATTCAGAGATTTGCCTATGGTTTGAAAACTACCAGTAAGCATTGCTAGAAAGCAGAACTAAGAAGGGAGGGACAAGACAAAACACGCACTCCTTTTATTTACATTTGCCTTATTTAGAGCCATCCTATACATAAATATTTAACTACTGTAAAAATTTCTAAAAATAAGGCAGGAGCAGGGAAGGTCCAGAATCCCAGCTCTTGAGAGGCTCAGGCAGGAAGACTGTGAGTTCAAGGCCAGCCTGGGCTACACAGCAATATCCAAACTTAAAAATTAAAATTAAAAACCTAAAATTTTTAAATAATAAAACCCTAACTCATTCTCACTATAAGTTATTCTTCTAAATAAGCTAAACTAAAACTAAGATAGGTCACAAATGCAGAACAATAATAAACAATTTCATTTATTTTTTAAGCAGTCTTTTATCAATATAAAATATACATGTAGAAAAATTAATGTTCACAAGCCAAGCACAGTGCTTAATACCTAGGTCAAGACAGAGAAAGCTGTGGTACCCCCGTGCCCCCCGGGCAGCTTCCAGCCCTTCTCTCCTTCAAGATGGCCACTACCTGCACCTCCAAGAGCACAAAATAGCTTTGCCACTAAAATTACATCGGGAGAGAGACAATCATTCCTTCCTTCCAAAATTATTCATGTGCCTAAGACATATTAAGTATACAAAGTCAGATAATAACTATTTCCTTATGAGACAAAGTTCCACTGAATAAATATTAAAATGTATGCTATAACAGAGAATTGTAATATAGCATATTTAAAGTAATTTATTATAACAAAAAATATATGCATTATCTGACCTAAAAAATCATATGGAAAATAACCTTGGCCTACGGCAATTTATAAATAAAATTTATTAAAACATTTAGACACTCCCTCTTGTCTGTCTGTCTGTCTTCTCCCTGACCTCCATGAACTAAGCACATCTGTCCTTTCGGCCACCCTCTGTCATGATGCTTGACCTCACCACAGGCCCAAGAACAATGGAGACAAGTGACCAAGAACTGAAACCTTTGCAACCAGGGGCCAAAATAAAGTTTTCCTTCTTTAAATTGATTTTCTGAAGTATTTTGTCACAGCAATAGAAAGCTCACTAATATAACACCCTCCACCATATTATGTTTTCTTTTTTTTAATTTTTGCATGCATTCTAATTCTCAGAATCTATAAAAGTGGGTATCTGATTTCTAGTATAGATATCAATAAAAGTAAGATGTTTTTTAAATGTAGCTAGAGATTTCAATTAATTTTTATATTTAGGTCACTCATTACTTAAAGAAAAGAAATAACAGGGCTGGAGAGATGGCTCAGTAGGATAAGTGCTTGACTGGCAAACGCAAGGATCTGAGTTCAATCCCCGGCAAAAAAAAAGGAAGAAAAGAAAAGAAATATCAACATCTTCTGCAGCTGAAATATTAACAAAACGTATTTCCTCCCATACTTTTGTAACTGTTTTTGGAATGAAAACATGAAACACTATGTACATTAAATTGGAAACTTAGGCTTTCCTTGGGAGAAATTCAGGAGTAATGGTGGGTACAGCTCTTCATTTTTCACTCCATGTTAACATTCAGCAATGTAGACTTCATGCTCATAAGAACTCTCCCTCCCAGTCCCTCTGTGGGGACTGCAGCCCGCCAGTGGGACTTACCTTCTACAACGTCCCTCTTGTAATCACTGTCATTGTCACTATCTGTTGGTCGGTAATAGATATAAAATCCTTGAATGGGCGTGTTATTGTTACTTGATGGGATATACTAAAAAAAAAAAAAAAAAGATTTGTCAAAGACAAAAATAAATGCAACATTCACATACATTATGATTTCATTATCTGTGGTAACACTTTTCTAGCTTTATTTTGCAAGCATACTTAATGCCATTTTTAACTTAATTCAAATATTTTTAAAGATAATTAAAAATTCAGCTAAGTACAGGTCTGCTAAATGAAAACATTAGGTTCAAAGGCATATAACTAGCCTTGGTTCAAATTGAATAAATCATAAAATGCTTTACGTTAACAGTGCTTTGATGAGAGCCAAGGAAACAGTAACTTTTTAACCATGTCCCCTTAGAATATGTGTTTTTAAGCAAATAATATCCCCTTCTGCTTCTCCTCAATGAAAAATTTAACTGCTCCATTGTTTGCAAAAAATATGAAACTATAAAATTGTTGATGTGACTAACCAGGCAAAGCTCTCCTTAGAGAAGGGGTTTACGTACCGTCCACTTTAGCATGATCTGAGTGTCGCTAACAGCCTCCGTGTACGCAATGTGAGGTCCAGTGATGGGACGGCTGGAGAAACGCTTGGGGAATCCAGCCACCTGGTAAGGACGAGACGCTGAACTCCGAAAACTCTCTCCATAATGATTGACAGCAATGACCCTGAATTTGTATATTGAACCTTTGGGGGGAAATAAAACAAAAACCCTCTAACTATAAAAAGCTATAGCATCTGAAGGTAGAATATTCAAACTATGACAATTATATTGAAGTATTTATCTACTATAACAACACATTCTAATGCCTATATGCTGAATAGACTTCAACCCAATTGCCAATTACAGTCAGTGAGGACTGGCTGTTCAATGCCTAGCATTTGAGAATCCAAGATATTATTAGGAGTCACATGAATGAATGCTATGAAATATTAGTGATGTGTGGAGAAAGTAGGAAAAAAAAAAAGAGGGCAGACACTTACCATTTACCACCCTTTTTAAGTTATACTCAGCAGAGACAGTACTAGTTGAAGTACCAGTTTCCATTTGAAAGAAAAATGGAAACAAAATTTAATATGGTGAATATATTTATAAAGAAGCAAGGAGCAAGGAACAGCAGATGCCCCTTTGGATTAAAATAACAAATAGGATAAAATGGGCTGGTGAGATAGCGCAACGGACTAAAGCAACTCCTTAGGCAAGCTGACCAAGGGCAGGGACCGGGGTAACAGCCCCGCCCCCAGGGCAAGCTGAGCTGGCCAGAGTCCGGGGCATATGCCTGTAATCCCAGCGTTGGGGAGGCTGAAAGCAGGATCACCATGAGTCTGAGCTGCATAGTAAGACCCTGCAACAACCAAATACTAAAAATCAATCAGTCTATCTATCTATCTATCTATCTATCTATCTATCTATAGGATAAGGGCAATCAGAATTTAGTCACAATAAAAGGAATGTATTTGAATTAAATATTAGTAAATCTTAGAATACTAAGGTTTCTAAATTTTTGAAAATCAGAATCTAAAGAATACAGTAAGATCTTTTTTGGGGGTGTCCTTTTGAGACAAGGTTTCACTATGCAGTTCAGGCTGGCCTTGAACTGGCAATGAACCTCCTGCCTCAGTCTCCAGGGCTGAGATAACACGCATGTGCCACCACACTCAGCGGTAAGAATACAGTTAAATCTTAATGCAAATGTCCCAATCATTCAAAAATAACCTTGGCCCTCTGAACACAGTGTCAGTCTATAAAGTGTCACTTAGCTTTGCCCACATTTAAAGCTGCTCTCCCTCCCGATTAGACCATGTGCTCCCGTGCTCCTCAGATTACTTGGTTAGACAAACAGCCATTTGCATTTAGAAGTCCAGAAACAGAAATGGCTGTGAACTCAAACAAATAAAAGTAAAAGTTTATTTATGGCTTTTATCTTCTGGCATTTAACCTTTCCTCTATACCCTCATGACTTTTTTTCTGGGAAAGTGAGCCTCTGCTGAAAGAAAACGTATAGAGCAAGCTCGTGGTGGCTGTTGACTCTTCCGTAGGACTAAGTGCTGAGTACAGCAGCACTGAGTGAGATTCTGCATCAGACACTTGTCCTCTTAACATATTCTATCACAGCAAAACACATACACACAAATATCCATCACAACTGTAAATACATAGAAACAATCTACACTATAGAGGGAAAAAATGGTTACAGGATGGGAGTTTAGCTCAGTGGTAAGATGCTTGCCTGGCAGGTGCAAGGTCCTGAGTCCAATTCCAGCCCCAGCGCCCCTGTGGTTCTGTAAAGTACTGTGTACTTATAGAGTAGATACATAACTACTAAAAATTGAGATTTTAAATAATTTTTTAAACAATATTAGAGAATGTATATGATATCATATGGGGTAAAGGAGACATAAAACATACATGACATGATCCCAGGACATCTTTAAAAAAAAAAACCTAGGAAGGAATTTAAGAAAATGTAAGTACCAAATATCTGGATGGATGAATTTCAGATGACCCATTCTCTTAATATTTCCTTTTTTTGGGCTGGGGATCAATGCAGGGATTGGACCCAGGGTCTTCACATTGAGCTCCCTTTTTATGTTTTATTTTGAGATAGCAAAACACTGAGTAACTAAATTGCCCAGGTCAGGCTTGAACTTGTTATCTTCCTGTCAAGCCATACACAGTTCTGGGATTATAGGTACACACCACCACACCTGGCTATATTTTCTTTACTTTCAAATTTCTTTTTACTATAAGCATTCATGAGTTTGATAATAACGATGCAGTAAAAATACACAGTCCTAACAGTTAGCAAAAGGACACACTTGAACAGCACAACCTGGCTCTAAGCTTCGAACTTCCACAGAAAGTTTGGAAGGAGGAATGTCCTCAGCTGCCACCAGCCAGTCACCCGTCCTCATCCGTTTGTATTCAACCTTGAAGGCTGTGATGGGAGAGCCACCATTTGCCCGGGGAATCCACGTGACATAGACTGAGGTCTCGGACGCAGTGGAGACAGTCGGTCGATCTGGAGCCTCCGGGACTGAAAATGGAAACACTCACTTCAGAGGAAGCCACAGGGGCAAGAATAACCCAGAGACAAGAGTAACACAAATAAACCGAAAAGGGTAAACCCCAAACCTCATGCTATTAATGGTTTCTCACTCAATTTTCTGCCAGAGTTAATATTATGGCTGTCTTCCTGGCATCCATAAAAGCTAATGGGAAATGAACAGTGAAAAATAAGAAATGCAAGGAAAAGTAAAACGACCGGTGACTTGATAATCAGCTGACAGAGTTCGTGAATATGACAATTCTGACTTGCCTGTTTGGGACTCCTGAGTAAAATAATGTGTAAGTAATTCTTATTTGGTCCATCAAATTTGCTGTGGTTATCGTTTATAACAGATTGTCACAATTATGTGTTACTTTACAGAAATGTTCTTCTTTATCCACTCAAGCTATATAACACATACTCAGCCTACCTAACCTCCTGATTACTAGATTAACCATTACTTTTATATCCCATTCTAGTATATCTCAAGGCTACATGAATTATTACTTCAAGATACAGATCGCGGGCTGGCGAGATAGCTCAGCGGTCTAAAGGCCTGCTTAGGTAAGCTTAGGCAGGCACAGAGGACTGCAGTTCGACCCCCAGCACCATATGCTGCACCAGCCCCACCCTCAGGGTGGACTGAGCAGGCAAAAAATAATAATAAAAGAAATAAAGAATAAAGTCTAAAAAAAAGATACAGATCGCAAGTGGCAAAAAGAAAAAAATTGGTTAAATTGATACTGGTAATAATGGGACAAGAGAATGCTGCTCAGAATAAATGCAGGAAGACATTGTGTAAGTAAAGAAGAATGTTCTGAGAAAGAGGAGCCATATAAATATGTAGAAAAAGGGGGTCAGGGAGCTGACGTCCAGCAGCTTTCAGTTCACATGGCCAAAGGAAGAGGTGCCCTGGTGCACAAGTTAGATGGGCTTGCCCCCACGGCAGCTGGAGACACCAGGAGTGAGTCATCAGCCGCTTAAATCCTCTAACCAAGAAGCCTGGTGGTTAAAAGAAAAAATTAAGGTGTGTCATGCACATGCGCCGATTCCCCACAATGAATGTAAGTAATCACCATGTACTGGTATCTACTTGGTTCCTACAAGGGAAGAATGCTGACAGAATCAATACGGCCCACAGGAAACTCAAGAGAGCAGGCTGGTGCATTTCCACTCTGAGTCACCTTTGAGTTCTGTAATCATGGGGAGGGGCTCGGGTGATCCCACATCTTCTGGGGTGCTGACAACAGAGTTTGTGAGTGGAGCACCAACCCTGGGCTGTGGTAACACAGCTTCAGTGAGGCCCGTTAGGAAGCCCTCTACCTAGCTGTGCTACATAGCTCAGACAATACCCGTTTGTCTCAACACCTCTTCAGCCCTGACTATAAATACATAACAAAGGAGGTAGTAATGTTGAATGTAGTATTGCCTGGGGAAAGCTGTGGCATTTCAAGAACAAACTGCTGAAGGGACAATAAAAGGAACGTATTCAAAGCAGGCAACGTTAAGTGATACTTACTGTATTCCTTTCAATTAGAAAGCAATGAAAACAGAATGAGTAGAGCTGTTAGTGAACCACTTTTTAAACACTAGAAAACTAAGCAACATCTTTATATTGATTTATATGAAGCTCAACCACATTAAATACCACGGATCAAGTAAGAGAAGAAAGTTATTGGGGGAAACATCTCACGTGTCTTAAAGAAACAGCACATGACTCTCAGGGTGTAAAAGAAAGAACGCTGCACCTGGAGTTGGAAGCCCTGGACTTGAGCAGCAGTCCACCACTGCCTGCATGGGCTTGAGCACGCTGCAGAACTCCTGAGACCTCAGCTTTCTAATCTGTACCAGGGATATGCTACCTTCCCTTGTTAGGAAGATGGTATAAATCACTTCTTGGGGCTACCTTTTGGATAACTCCAAACTCATGACTTTGAAAGCTGAATTCATATCCTTCATGCAAATTGACACTAATCCAATCATACTAAATAAAACCTCTAATCTCTATACAAAATAGACCACGTCATTTGTCCATCTCTTGCATAAGACATCTTTGCCTACAACCTTGTTTTCTGTTTCTTCATCTCATGGTGTCATTTTTGTCCTTTGCGGCTCAGCTCAAGGTGCTGAGGAGCTTCTATCACCATTACTCATCCTCCTGGAATCACGTGGATGACATGGGAATTTTTCTTGTGATCCCTGAACACCATCAGTATAATCTCAAACAGAATGAATCAAAATCATTCTATTAGGTTATTGGTCTATATTACCTACTCTACTGTGGAGGACCAGCTGCTCAGGTGGCCCTCCACCTGAGCAGCTCTCCTTGAAAGAAGAGTGACTGTCTCCATTTTGACTGAGCCTGACCCTATTTCCTTACACTGGTATGTACAGAGCTGGCTAGGACTTCTCTTTATCCTTTCAATTGGCCTTAAGCAATGTATATTGATCTAGGTGAGGTGCTGGTGATAGTCTTTGAAGGTGGCATGCGTGTTTCCCTGGTAACCTACACCTGCTATTCTTTAGTGTGAGCCAGGTTGAGACAGGACAAAGAGCCAATGCTCCGCTCTGCCAGCTGGGATCAAGCCTCAAGACAGAGGTTATGACTTCCTGGGGCTTGAAAGACCACATCAAAGCTGAAGCACCAGACCCCCCAAAACATTAGATACTACCTCAATAGCATGATACAGCTTACTTTCTCTGCATATCCTTTCTGCATATGGCAGAGGTAAATGTAGGCCACCTACCTAGCTCAGCTCACAGAGTCACCTACTTCCCACAATTTTCAGTTATTCCTCCTCAAGCCACTCCTTCACTGAATAAAATCCAGGTGCTGCCCTGAGTCAGCCTCTTTGTTCCAGAAAGCCATCTTTGTGGCTGGACTTAGGGTCACTTGGCTCCCCAGTAATTATAAGTATGTTTTAGTGTCTTTACTTTCACTGTGGGTTGCACTGGGAGTGGTAGATTGGAATTAACTTGGTGGGATTACAGTAACATATCTTTACGATTACAAATACTGACTTCTTAGACTGAGATGAGAACCTGGAGGGGACTTTTACACTCTACAGGTATGGAATTAGATATTTCACCTACTCAGAAGCACGGGTTTAGATGTCTCTAGCATTCACTATGCTATAAATTCACAGAAAGGAAGGATTATTTTATCTCTGCTCTTCAAACATTTAGCACAGTGTCTTCCACAGGATGTATTAAACAAACAGCATACTTTTTGCTCTTCAGACATTAGCTTTATTCACATGAAGCTGACACTCAGACAAGGAATCTGTCTAAAAAGACTGAAAGGTGCCTCTGTGGTGGAAGGACTCAGGCGAGCAAAGCTCACAACATTTAGAAGGGGAGGTCGAAGCATTCTCACCTGCCTTTGCCGAAACCAACTCGTGGAAAACTGGGAGAGAAGTCTGGAGACCCTTGAAGCTCAACTGAGAAATGTGATGTCTTCTCTACAAGTCCCAACATGTCAGCGCAGCCACAAAATGCACATTTGAGGTCTGGTGGTTTGCTCAACAATACACAGAATGCTTGCCTAGCACATACATGGTCCTGGGTTCAGTCCCAGCTCCATACATACACACATATGTGCACATGCACATGCACACGCACACACACACACACTTTTGGCTAGAACGATAAATGTGAAATGTACATACTAAGAAACCTTTTGAAGGTTTTACTGCTCACACATCTAAAATCCCTAAGGTAACTGGGTATAGCAATCAAGTGACTATGACATGTAATTCAGTAACACATTTACCAGTGGCACCACCACTGATGATAAACCACACACAAAAAAAAAAATTTAGGCTTTCTTAACTCAAGATGTAAAGTTAAGTTTTGTTGCCAAAAAGGAAACAGAAAAATCCTTCTTTTGAGTTATAAAAACTTAGTAGCAGAATATTCTGAATCTGAGTCTCTTACGTTAAATAAATTCATGACAAAGTTGCCAAACTAAACCTAGGACATTAAAAAATGGCTGAAATAAGACACAAAGGAGCTGAACAACAGATTATATCCTAACTTTTTATCTCTGCACCCCCAAGTTCTAAAACAGGTCAATGAGAAGTGTGAATAAACAAACATATTAGAGCAAAGATTCCTTGCTTTACCTCCACTGTGCCTGGAGGCATCAGTGAGCACCACTCCAAAGTTGCTGTTGGCAGCCTCAGAAACAGCAGGATGCTTAGGGACCCCCACAGGCGGAGAGGACGCCTGGGTGTTTTTTGATGATGCTATTTTCTCTACAGAAGGTTAAAAAACAAAAATCAAAACTCAATGCAACTTAAGCTTATAAGTAATTTTTTTTAAAGTACTATGAAACTTAGCTGGTATACAAATATAGAGAGGGCTCAACTGCCACAACATCTAAATATAATACCTATATTATAAACACTCACTTAACCTTAAAAGCCGACCAAAAATTACTTCATTATTTAAAAGCTTCTGCTAAGTATCCTCATAGACAAAAAGTCACAGTAAGTTTCAATATTTCATATCCAAAAAGTAAAGCTGGGTTTTTTTTAAAAAAGTAAGACACGTTATTATTTAGTATTTATAGGTCATGGTATAAAGAATTGTAGACTGATGGTGAAAATTAACTGTAAACAGATAGATTGATTTTTTTTAACAGTTCCAAAACCAATTAGTAGGACAGTTTCAATAATTAATACATTGTATACTGTTTGTCTTCTTAGTGGTTATTCATAGTACAAGATGCAGACATGGTATCCTGTCCACAAACACTATTAGAACAAATCTTTCCATTCATTGAATTAAGAGAAAGTAGCTGTATATCTGTCCTAACTTTTGAATATACAGATACAAAATGGTCCTTCATTTGTATCCCCTTTTTTTGTTCAGTTTTGTCAGAGAAGGGTATTCCATTGTCCCTTAAATATTGTAGGTACATGAATTCAGCAAAATAATACAATATAGTCCAGTAACCATAATAGTAGTGGGTTATCCGTAGGACTGGCAATGTCAGAAGTTGTTGACTTGAACCTTTTACAGCTCAGCATATTAATATGGCTTTACTTTTTATACTTCACTTTTATACTTTTCTGCTGGATGGTTAAGACCAAGATAAAGCAAGACTTAAATAACAAGAAATGTAACTTTTGTATCTGACAAGGTCAGTCAAATCCCCTTAAGATTTATCCTGAAACCCTGTACTGCAGTTTATAGATCCTCTGTCAGTGTCAGCCATGTGGATGAGTCACAGCCATTGCTTGACCAGTGTGCTCTCTGTGAAAGCCTGAGAGAATTTTTTCTCTTCAGGTGATTCTCCTTAGGCACACTCTACATCATAGATCACTTTCCTCTGTGGCCCCATAATCTTGATCAGAAAATTTAGGACACCACTGAGTTACAGGATGTTACAGTACAGGTTCTCCTGCGTCCTGAGTCCTCACTGACCTTGAAAGGCTAGAGCCAAAATGTTGACTGTTCTTGCAGCCCAAAAATTATTTTGGCCTGCAAACTTAGGTTATTAACATTCCAGAAGAGAAGCTTATTATAACCCTACAACATAGGCAGCTGAGCTTAAACTCACTATCTGTTGGAATAGACTGACTGATTTACAACATACTTGGATGTTGCAGGGTCTCACTACACAGCTTGGACTCATAGTGATCCTCCTGCTTTCAGCCTCCCCAGCACTGGGACTACAGGCATACGCCAGTACACTGAGACTCTGGGCAGCTCAGCCTACCTTGGGGATGGGGCTGGCATGACATGTGATGCTGGGGATAGAACCTTGGTCCCTACTACACTTGCCTAATGAGTTGCTTTAGTCCGCTGAGCTATCTCACTAGCCCACTGGAGGTATATTTAAAAAAGTACACATCATTTGCTGACCAGACTTAATAATTAGATAAAAAGATCTTTTTCAAAAGCCAATAGGGAACTTCTTCTCACTCCTCAGACTTGCTTTCTGCGACAGAGCCAAAAGGAAATCTTCCACCCAGTTCCCATCTCCATTCACTCACAGCCTTTCTGGCTGGCTCACAACAGAATCTTCCATTAAACTTCCCTCAAGGGCTGTCTCATGGGAAAAAGAACCATTCCCTGAGCTCCCTCTCCCAGCAGTGTCCTGGGAACCGCTCACAGTACTTGTCATACTTGGTGTCTCTGCCTGGACCCTCCTCAGGCCCCACATCCCCTACAGCCAGAATCATCCTGTTAGACCAGACGGTGCATCATGCCACACAGAGGAGAAGCCAAAGTCCTTGTGAAGTCCACAAGGCTGATGCAATCTGGTGATCCTGTTGTCTACCTGAGCACCTTTTCACCTCCGCCTCCCACTTTCCACCTTAGCCTCCCACTCACTTTGTTCCGTGGCTATGACGACTTTGGTCCTGCTTGGGACACCCCAAGCACACCCCACCTTGGGGCCCTGGCACTTGCTAGTCTCTTGCTTGGGAGTGCTCTTCCCCAGACAGAACATGCCTTCCTACCTCCTTGCTGTGGCTCATGTCTGGATGTCACCCCCACAAAGCCTCATGTAGTCATGAGGGGCTTTCAGAGGTGGCTGGATCCAGAGTTTTGACGCCAGAATCAAGGCTGTGTGGTTACCATTATCAGTGCACTGATTGGTTTGGCACAGCACTGGCTAGGATTAAGGGTGTGAGTGCTACATCCGCCTAGGATGGGCAGCCTGCATACGGTGAGGGACAGAAAGAGGAATGTGCTCTCACCCACCTGCCTATTTTTTCTCTGCAGTGTCTCCCCGTCAGGTCACCCTGCCTTGGAGTTGCCAGTATAGAATGAAACCTCTCTAAACTGTGAGCCAAAATAAACCTCCTTTAATCTCAGGTGCTGGGTACTTTGTCTCAGCAACAAGAAAAGTAAGACACTCCCTCTTGCTACTATCAACTGGTTACTGTGGATTTCTTGGCCACTTACTTATAACTCCCACCCCACACGTTTCTCATATCCATCCCTGAATTTATCTCTTTTGTTAACACCAACTTCTAATAGAGTAGTAAGTTAGGCATGAGCTTCTCCCAACTAAAATGTGGTATCCATGGGGCACAGCACTGTCTATTTGTGTGCTGCTGGACACACGAAGGCATTCAGTAAATACCAGCTGAAATGAGTCAAATTCCGTTTTACAGTTGATATCCAAGTATGACTGTACTTTTTTTTTCTCTACCTTCTTATTCTCTCTATATATATATTTAGTACAGCGTCTACAGGGTCTCACTACACAGACTGGGCTCCTAGTGATCCTGTTTTCAGCCTCCCAAGCTGGGATTACAGGCACACATCACCATACGCAGTCGCAGCTGCTGTCTCAGCGCACCCCAGGGGTGGGGCTGGCACAGCACACCAGAGATTGAACCCCAGTCTCTGCGCTTGCCTAAGCAGGCATTTTAGTTTGTCGAGCTATCTGGCCAGCCCCTACCTTCTTTATAGAAGTACAAGCTCCACTGAGATGGTTCAGATCTTGACCATCTCTTTTCCCTGCATTATCTTCTCTAATGCTGCAAATCCTGAGCACTCAGGAATATCTGCAGAATACTGAATGGAATGGGACACTGCAACTACTCAAATGTGGCCCCCAAAAATGCTATGATAAGCTTGCTTCAATAATTTATAACTAAAAATCTCTACTACCCAAAAGGACTCTTATTAATCATCTGGCATGAAGACAGCCAGCCCCTTTCTCGGATGGAAGCTTACACTCACCTTTGCTGGTTCGGAAGGTAAGCATGGCAGGCTGCCCTTCACCCGCGGCACTTCTTGCCACCATCAGAACCTCGTAGAGACTGGAGGGCTCCAGTTCTGTTAGCTGCAGCTCACTTTCACTGCCAGGGACTCGAACCGTGTGCCAGCTCCCCACTGCACCAGCACCGTCCTCCAGCTGCTCAAGAGAAACCCTCAAATGATGAGAGATGCATGACAGGAAATCTTTCATCCACATTTAATAAAAACTAGAATTCACATGACTCTAGAGGACTTTCGGGAATGAGGTACCACTGCAGGAAAGGAGGAGATACAATACAATTCACAGTAAAAAATACAAGGAGCAAGAACTCAGGAATTCCTGAACCTCTCAAAGTCTGTTTCCTGCACCTATAACAGGGACAAAAATCCCCTTGCTTACTGTGCTAATGGAAGAATTTTGAAAGAATACAGTATTGGTAACATATGTATATGATAAATAAGATATATGTATATTATATATAATGTATATGACAAATTAAGCTATAATATATTAAGTATATCTGCATGTATATGAACTATACAGTTATGGATGCAAGATTTCCACCATTCTTGTTTATGGGTTGACATCGTTTAATGTGTGTTGGAGGAAATATAAAGAGATCCAATTAATTAGTCATTTCCTGGTTACTGAACCAAGAGACAGTGTCACAAAACAGTTCAGGGTAGATGATCACCAACAATTTTATTTTCTTCATCTAGAATCATCAGGTTATAAGCAGTGGGTCAACTTCCCAACACCATGACACTGATTTTTCCAGCCACTGAAAATATCAGACATTACTTAAACAAAAGATATGAGAATGTCTTAGACAAAAAAAATTATAAATATGAGTACATCTCCTTTTTCATTCTTTTATAAATCTCATTCAACAGAGGAGCTTTTTCATTTTGCCGTAATACAAGCCCATGGAGGAAAAATATACGAAGAATCAACAAAGAGAGTCCCCAGGTTTACTAAAACGAATGACCAAGTAACGTAAGACTCTAACGCAATGACTGTAACACGATTAAGAAGATGGCCTAGAATGTACAAACAGCTCTCAAAAACTAGGCCAGAGGCTTCGTTCAAACAGTTGTTTCTAGGAAAAACTGCTTTATTTGCTAAATAAACTGCATGCTATAATCTTAGCAAGGGATGGAATTACAGTTTTAAAGTGGTTTATGGGCCTTGACACCAAAAGGATAAAACAAAGAGCCTGATTTTGAAAATATGAAATGGTTACTAGGTTTTTAAAATCCTGATTTGGAGAAAAATATTTTTAATGCATTCTCATTACTTTTGTAAAACTGGTCAATCCAGCGTGACTGGATCTAACAACTCACCACACTCTGGAACATCCCTGTTCTTTTCTGCCCTTCCACAAACGTAAGATGCGAAGCACGTTACACAAGCAAAGCTTCAGAGTGAAGAGAGAAAGATGCTCAGGAGAACAGACATTACCTTTCGATACTTGACAAAATAGGCATTGATGGGCAGTCCACCGTCCTTGCCCGCCCTCCACACCAGGTGGTATGTGTCTGCTGTGGGGGTCTGCGGGGGGCTCAGGATGATGGGCGCGTCAGGGACAGAGGTGCCACTGGCGTTTTTCTCTGGTGATGGTTCTGCTGCTCCAGGAGGTCCCTTCCCTGGAAATGAGCTCAGCAAGCCAGATTCTGAGCCATCTCTGTGATCTCTTTCATCACTCTGAATAGCATCAGAAGGTGTGACTGTTTCTGCTTTTGTATTTGATTCAAAAGGAACTGCAGAGAGACACAGAGACAGAGACAGACAGACAGAAAAAGAAAGAAGTGTGAAGAACTTCTCATTATTTCAGTGTCTTCTGCCCAGCTGGAAATATACCTGCCCCCACTGGCATTACTAGACCATCCTGAGCCCTTAAAGTTAAAACATGGCAACATCTAAACTCTATAATCTGTTACTCAGAGTAAACAAATTAAAAAACAATTTTATGATGTGACGGTTGAAAGGCTTAAAGGTTTTTATTTTTCCTTTGCTTTATCCTAGCAGTCCCTCTTTATTAACAATTGGCTGGACCAACCTTAGAAGATCTACCTTGATAAATTACACATAGGTGGTAAATAAAACACAATGAGTAATGCGTTCCCCTGGGAACAAAGTAATAGAGACAGTAAGAAAATGGGCAAGAATTAGAATCTTGTTTTTTGGGAGGCTGAGGCAGGAGAATTGATCATAAGCTGGATTTCTACCTGGACAACTTAACAAGACCCTCTCTCCAAAGGGCTAGGGATATAGTGCAGTGCAAAGGACCTACATTCAATCCCCAGTAAGCCCCCTAAAAAAAAAAAGATCTTACATACTGGGTAAGATCAAATACACTTCCCAGAATCCACCCATCTCACATAGCCCTCTCTTCGCTTCAAGAAAGCCTGGCAGCTCTACTTTTATTGTATTCTTGAGACCTAGCTACCCCATAGACGTATGTCTGCACCAGTCATGTGTAAGAGGACATGGAGGCAGAGACTAGGGGGTCCACCCTACAAAAGAGCTGTATGTGCCCAAGCTGTGGCTCCTGGCCACTGTTGTGGCTGCCTAAGTGTCCTTCACTTTCCAGGAGAATTGTCACAAGTTCAAAGCTAAGCTAGGGCACATAGTAAGTTCAAGGCTAACCTGGATTACAAAACATTTTTGAGGCAAGACCTTCTCGGGGAGGGGAGACCCTTCATTTTAATGATCACCTTGACTCTGGGGAGTAGCCAGAGGTTATATGGTGCCAGAGCTGCTGGCTAAGGCGGAGGAGGACACTCCAGAAGGTTCTTACAAACCTGCCTTTCTGTCAGTGAGCACACAGAGGCAGCATTCACTGTACTTCTGGTCTTCCCTTATAAAGACACTCTTACAACTGCATTAGAGCACAAGAACCGCTAACTGCACCGGCTTAACTTCTGGACTCAGAAGATGATAAAGGGATGTGGCTTGAGGGCACCAAACTCCTGGGGAGGCAGCCGTGCTGCAACGGGGACTTCAGCCCAGAGACACCTCCCACAGCCACCCACTCTCAGGGAAGAGGAAGAAATGCCTCAGCAAGACCAGCCCAGGGAAAGCTAAGAGGGACACCTCACAGATACGGGACTAATTTCTAAGTCCTATTTCTGTAGAAAAATGAAGGTCAGATTAAAAGATTACCAATCTAAAGACAGATAAAACAAGCAGACAGCCTTAATACTTATGAAAAACAGGATACGGAATAAACAGAAGAAGATAAAAATAATTTATGTGCCCTGAAAAAATAAACAATTTTATATATATGATAAAAATTAGTAAGTATATTTCATTGGCCAGGCATTATGCACAAGACTGAATAAACATAAGCTCATTTCATTCTTACACCAGCAGTCTTAGGTGGACATAATACCTCCTCCCACTTTCTAGATGAAGAAATAGAGATCTGAGAAACTAACCAACAACAGCTGTCAGACAAAGGTCAGTGGCGCTGCTGTGGAAAAAGCGAGAGGAATGTATGAAAAATACTGCGCCAGAATCATAAAACTGAAGGAGTGACAGCTCAGTTTCTCTAGAGCTTTAGGAATACTGGTCACAGAAAGACCAATTATTCATTTCTTTGTGGAAGAAGAGAACAGAGGAAACAATGTTTCAGTTACAAGAAAGTCCAGATTCCTGGTAAAAGATGGGTGTGCTTTTAGAATTAGTGCCCTTCAGCAGCCCACCAACAAAAACCAGACTAACAGCTTAAGGTCAGTTCCTTGTGGCTTAAAAGAGAAAAGGTGGCCCAGAAGCACCCGCCATCAAAGAAAACAAGAAGCTAGCGAGAAAATAATACAGAAGAAAAGTAATAAAGCTCACTGAGACAACTTGAAAATATTGCTCCTGGAACAGCTGTGTTTACCTAGTGAGTCAGAGGCTGAGTGGATGATCTGGGTCCTGCCTGCCAGTGCAGAGAAGCAGACTCTAAAGTGGAGGCGATTAGCTGTGGCTTGGGGTAGCAGGGAAAACCACCGTATCATTAGCAGTTTCGCGGGTGCTCGGGGCAGCTGACCACTGGGAAGCGGCATTTGGCTGCAGAAGAGTTTCCATACCAAATGCCTCAGTTTACGTAGAGGCACAAAAAAAAGTTATGCCATCACTTGTCCACTGTAAAGTATCAAAATCCTGTTATTCAGGTATAATGCAGCCTTTTACAACTTTTACCAAAAAGGGGATTCAATTATCTTCTGCAATTCTTGATAATATAATAAGGGCATTTAAAGATACTAGATAGAATTTTAAAGGCTTTAAAATACAGACACCCCTTGTTTTACGGTGAGATTACATCCCAATAAATTTATTGTAAATTTAAAATACTAAGTTGAAAGTGCATTTAATTCTCGTAACCTACTGGACATCACAGAGTATGTGCCGTGTACCACCGCAATGGTACAGCTGACAGGGAGCTACAGCGTCACAAGAGCACCACACCTATTATGGCCTGTCTAGGAAAAGGCCAACATTCAAAGCATGGTTTCAATGAATGTGTCATTTCCATGTCATCAGAAGCTCAAAAGAATCATCTGGAATCATCTTAAGCTGGGGAGCATCTTGACTTTCAAAAGTGCTTTCCCATGTATTATCAACCTATATTCGAAACAACTGTGTAATAGGTACAATAGACATCCAGCATTTTGAAAGTAGATTGTTTTGAATTAGAAGAGATCAAAACTACAGCAATGTAAATGAACTGAGCAATCTGAACCAAACTAATTAAATATGGAGTACTGCACATCCACATCTGTCCAAGATGTTTCCATCACGAGGACTCATACCAGCAACCCCACCCTACACTATTTAGAAAACTTGGGCCAACTCCCATAAGAGTTTTTAATCCACAAATATTTGTACATCTAAGACTTTTAAAACCTGAGGCCTCTGATTAAAAAAAAAAGAAA